CAGGCCCCGTGTCTGTTTCAGCTTCACAGCCTGAAAACCAGGGCCTACAGGCCCCGTGTCTGTTTCAGCCTGACAGCCTGAAAACCAGGGCCTACGGGCCCCGTGTCGTTTCAGCCTGACAGCCTGAAAACAAGGGCCTATAGGCCCTCAGGCTTTAGCCAGAAGCTACCTGGAAACTTCCCGGAAGCTTCCTCAGGCTTTAGCCAGAAGCTACCTGGAACTTCCCGGAAGCTTCCTCAGGCTTTAGCTAGAAGCTACCTGGAAACTTCCCGGAAGCTTCCTCAGGGTCTACCACGTTTGGGCATTGGCGAGAGCAGCCTCCTGGACGGGCCAGCACTATATAAGACTGGCCCGCCCTACAGGCAGGGAGAGTTGATAGGGACTGGCCAGGCACTTCACGTGCAGTCCAGGCAGAATGCAGGAGGCAGTCTTCAGGATTTGGCAGCAGCACTCTGGAGGAGCGCTGCAGGAGTAGCGTTAGCGCTAGCAGTAGTCTTCAGCGCTGGGCGCTAGTAGCTGCAGGAGTAGTCTTCAGCGCAGGGCGCTAGTAGTAGTAGTGTTGGAGAGAGATGGCTGGCGGAGGCCAGTGAGAGTTACCTGTGGCGCCATAGCTCCAGCTCCATCTTCGAGGTACCTGCATCCAGGCGCCAGCTTCACAGGTTAGTACCGGACACAGAGAGAGAGAGAGAGAGAGAGTTCTTCTTCTTCCTCTTCTAAGTCCACCATCTCTTCTTCACCCTCTCACTACCTGACTTCTAAGTATCTGCGGACTACGAGAGAGAGAGAGAGAGAGAGAGAGAGAGAGAGAGAGACAGAGAGAGAGAGAGAGAGAGCTGTGACTTGAGACTTGACAACATTGGATCCAGACTCGACATTGGGATTCAGACATTTGACGGGGATTATTTGGGACCTGTATCGCAGACTTGGTGTTGACGACATTCCCATCTTCCCCTCTTCTTTGTCTAACCCCCCTCTTCTTCGTCTGTGTATGGCGGGGACTGGTGCATTCTTGCTGTGCGAGCGACGGGCCCCTTCCCACCATGGAATGATGATGAGATGGTGTTTGGGGCTGCATTGCAACATTGATTGTTCGGGTCATTGGTATCTAAAGTCGTCCGCTACGCTATCTTGTACTTCGTGAGAGAGGTCGGTTCTTGTTCTGGTCTGCACAGTTACGGTATGCGACAAATCCCTGATTCTATCTACACTGCGTTGTATGCATTTGCTGCAACATTGAGCCGAGTCTTGCCTTCAATGCCACTCCTTTCTTCCTTCATGTTCATCGTTTTAGTTTTGCATGGTGCTCGGCGAATAATGTTAAGCTTTGCTGCGTAATATCGGGGCTTTTCTTTTCTTTGAGGTATGATTCCTTCCAGGCGGGGGTGTTGTGCACTATGCACACCTTCGACCCCGAGTTTTTGCAAGGAATGAGTAGATCCAGTCATCGTTTCCCGGGTTTCATTGTCCACCAATTATGTGACTATCCCCGATAGCAACAAAATTCTCAGGGAGTTCCTTTCCCCGTCGCCTGCGCACCTTCCCCATCCTTTTCCCCACTACCTCATTGTCAACTATTTGACCCGTGACGTCAAAGAATATCACCTTTAAGTCCCTTCCTTCTTCTATATATCTGTCTTTCCTACATTTCTTCTTTTCTGTAATGGAGAAATGAGACAATGCCTTGCGCTGATCGGCGACGTAAGGCCACCTTAACATGACGGAAAGAATCAATGATCTTGTTTCTCGCTACCCTGATGACATGTTGATGATCTTGTTTCTCGCTACCCTGATGACATGTCGGATTAAATCCAAAGTAGAGCACCCCGTTTCAAAGCGTTCATGAATGATGATATGACCTCGAAGAAGCTTGCTTCTTTGGAGGAGAGATCAGGGTCCATTGATTCCCTCTTTTTTCACTCTCTTGAGCGGGGATGCAGGGAGGGATGAAAATCTCAGGGGTGATGGACATGGCCACCAAGAACTGGTCATTGATATGTTGTGTGTGTCATTGGTTGTGTCCCATTCAAAGGTATTGTTAGAGGCTAGTCCCTCAAGATCCTTTGGTGAAGGATCACCGTGCCCGTGTGCAAGATATGTGATGATTTAGGTTCTGGACCATGCTAGTTTGTCCGCAGCTTGTGATGCACGTAAACGGGATCCCTTGTATAACCATCAGGATGCCTCCGATGTTTCAGATAATTTTGTTGATTTTTTAATTTCTTGCATGTACGATTTGAGCTTAGGAAAGATGTTGTTGATGCGATTGCGCCCTTGCTGACAACGACGTGATGCCCTTGCTGATTAGTTGTTACCACTAAAATTGAGCGATTAGCATGGTCCCTACGCACGTAAATCGAGTGATTAGTCATTAACGTACCAGCTTTGTCAGTTTAGTTTTCGGAAATCTCTGGCTTGCACAATTTCTTACTCAATCCCTTTTCCTCTGCACCTGAATCCTTCCTTTCTTGTAGTGCCGCCAGAAATTCTCAATTGTGACCAGTTACCCTACCTCCTCCTTGCTGGGTTCTCCCTTGCATTTTCCCAACCTCTTCCCCTTTGCCGCCTGAGTGGCCAATGTGATGCATGTTGACGAGGAGAGAAGGTTAACCGACCCCCCGATTTTCACCCTCATTTATAAGAAAACCAAAGGGCCATTTTAACCATACTTAACCATACAGACCTTGACCAAAAACAAAACAGGGCAAAAAAAAAACAAAAAACAACATGATCCCCACTACACTTTTCAGGGTGGTGAAAGTTACCCTAGGGGTGAAAAGTGAGGGGACCTGTGAACCATTTGTGTTGATGAGTGGAGAGAGGTTGAGTCCCTCATGCAGTGGTCTGATGATGTAACTCGACAGGCACTTCCTCCGACTATGTGTTTGTTCCTCCCCTCTGTTACGTGCATGCAAGCCATCACCTGCGACACTATAAATCTCACTAGTGTGATTCTCTCTTTCTCTATGACCACAGAAGCCCGTGCGATCTTTGGGTTGGCTACCCTGGTGTGTAAGGTGTTTTTTTTTCTGGACGGACCAGTCCCGACGGGCTGGCACCGATCATGCGGGGTTGACGAGTTGGCTGAGATGGACTGTGGTATCTAGGGTGAACCTAGC